ATATTATCAAATTTTGCTGTAATAAATATATTTTAAATATATTTATTCAATAGAGAAATAATGAATTGCCTTAATTTTAAACAATGTTGAATGCAGATCAGTCTCTCTAAGTATAAACAATATGATTTTAGAAAATTAATTTGAGAAACACCTTTTCAATAGAAAAAGGCAGGCATTGTGAAAGTTTGCATTATATTCATTAGAAGATGATATTCATTATTCTTCAGTTGTCAAAAAATACATGTAAAAAATAACTTAAATTGACAGAATTATTTAAAATGTATAACATCAAAACAAACAGTCATGAGACAATTTTTTCATAAAAAATGTTATGAAGCAATATGTTCAACCAGGGACATATAATCTGTATTATATGTCTCCTGTTCAACTAGTTTTATTATTTCATTTTATTTTTGAATTATCTTGTCATAATCACAGCTAGTCATTAAATTTGACAAACACATATATTTTACCTGAGACACTTGACCTGTAAGTTATATAATTTTAACACTTCAATGCAGTCATGATTTCCCTTTATCCTTGACTAGTTTTTGATTTATACCTTGTGTATTAATTAAGCAACAGGGGGTATAATGATGGACATATAGGGCCATCATGGTGGACATAGTTTTTATGGCCACCATTAAAAAGATAAAGTCACAAGTAGTGTATTTAACCATTGTAACCTGACTTTCCATGCATGTAACCATTGTAACCCTACTTCCCATGTATGTAACCACTGTAACTAGACTTTCCCATGCATGTAACCACTGTAACTAGACTTTCCCATGCATGTAACCATTGCAACCCTCATTCCCCATGCGTGTAACCATTTAACCTTATTTCCCATGCATGTAACCATTGTAACCCGACTTCCCCATGCATGTAACCCGACTTCCCTATGTATGTAACCATTGTAACCTGATTTCCCATGCATGTAACCATTGTAACCAGACTTCCCCATGCATGTAACCATTGTAACCTGATTTCCCATGCATGTAACCATTGTAACCTGACTTTCCATGCATGTAACCATTGTAACCCTTATTCCCCATGCATGTAACCATTGTAACCCTTGTTTCCCATGCATGTAACCATTGTAACCTGACTTCCCCATGCATGTAACCATTGTAACCCGACTTCCCTATGTATGTAACCATTGTAGCCTGATTTCATATGCATGTAACCATTGTAACCAGACTTCCCCATGCATGTAACCATTGTAACCTGATTTCCCATGCATGTAACCATTGTAATCCTAAATCACCTAAACTATTGTTACCAGACTGACTTATGTAACCTATTGTTACCAGACTGACTTATGTAACCTCACAGCGATGAATACAGGGGTTGCCATGGTAACATGATGGCATAAAGGATTCTTGCATGTGTGTAACCAGTGTAACCAATGTAACCATTAGGTCAATGGAGGTTACAAATGTACCAGGATTTGAGAATTTCTGAATATATGATGATTTATGATAGTTTGTATGAGTGTAACCAATGTAACCAATGTAACCATTATGTCAATGGGGGTTACAAAACAAGGTAACTTCATTCTGGTGCACATTTTGTGCCTTATATGCCGTAAGGCCGTCAACATTGAGTAAAACCCATACTATAAAGTCAGCTATACACTGTATCAGGGTCCTGACATAACAAAATGTGGAAAAATAATATTTATGACAGCAAACAAACAAAAAACATTCATAATAAACATCCAGTCCATGACAACCACTGAATTACAGGTTCCTGGCTTGGGACTGGCACATACAGAATGTGGCAAGGTTAAACATGATAATCGCTCTACCCTCCCCTCACCAGAAATAATGATATAACAGCACAACGTAAGGACAAACTGTAAAAATCAGTTGGAATAAACTTGTTTGCCTTTAACCAAATATTTAAATGATGTAAGGATAGAAGAAGAAAAAAGTATGTTCCCCTTAGCATGCTTAGTAAAAAAATGCCCCTTTTATGCCTCAACAGAAAATCCTATTACATGCAGTTGCATAGATTTATTTATAAATATGGCTGAAGCGCTTATAACCCCACTTAAGACATATTTTTAGTAATGAGTAAATTCATGGAAAATTTTCAAATAAACATTTATTAATATATTTAAAACAACGCAAAACATTTATTAATAGATTTAAAACAATGCACTTTTTGGTAAAAATACAAAAATTTAATTTTAGAAGAGAATTGTTAAAAAAGATAGATGTGACAGTACATGTACAAGAAATAAAATGATAGATGATTCAAAAATGACTAGCAAAAATGTGATACATGTACATGATGGAATATATATATATGAAAAAAAGACTGTCATGATGTTTTCTTGTCTGATATGTTTTTTTGTACAAGTCTTATCATGCTTATTATGCAAGCTTCGTATTTGAGACCAATTTGAGATTATTATTTTTTTGAATTGTCACAAAATATTTTCAAAGACATTTTGGATAATAACACTGAAACTTATTTTTGTATGTGAAAAATATGGTCTACTTGTTTTCCCTTGGAATCACTTGATTTTTAAAGCAGAAGTACATATAAACGTCTGTGCATAGCATATATATATATATATATATGTAGGACTCGGAGGTGCGATGGGGACGCTGAAGTGCACTGGTCTGCACCGAAGTGCGATGATCCTTTGTTGATGTGCGATGGTCTATAAGATGATTGATGACTATTTAAAAATCTACAGATGTCCAATTATTATGAGAACTTGATTCTTTTTGTGCCCAGCGCAACGAGTTTCGGGGGGGGGGGGATAGAAATAATCCCAACATCACACATCAGTGATCCTGTAAAAATTGACAAATTATTGTTAAAATCTTTTTTTTTGGTTTGCACAAATTAGATTGCTCAAGATACCTGACATGTTGTTAGACCTGATTAATATACATGTATTAACAGTTAGATTCAATTGAATGTTGATTTAAAAGAAAAATTAAACATCAATGACTTAACTTCAAAAAACTTTAGGAAAAATAAATTGGAATTTATGCAAATATCCCTCATAATTTTTTCCAGGATGGACAACTTCCACCTTGGAGTTTGAAAAGTTAACATCTATTAGCGTCCCTAAAATGACTTTCTTTTCTTGAAAGATAAAGTATTTTGAAATGTATACATGACATGCAAAATTTGTATCAAATGTTTAACCTAGTAATAGACTTCTGGTTTTATTGATCACATTTAAAAACAAAATTAAAAGATTTTGCATGGAGAAACCCTGTCATGATTTATTAAAGGCAAAATGTAAACTTTAGTCTGTTCATAAGTAAAAAGCGCACAGTAAATGGATTATAAGTAAGTGATAGATTTCACAGAAACGTGAGCAAATTTGATAGTGGCCCTCTGTAATGGATAACACACTTATTTCACAGAAACATGATCAGACTTGATAGTGGGTCTCTGTAATCGATAACACATTTATCTCCTCACTTGGAAGATGACTTATACCCTTCCAAAGGTCACAGCCCATCTTATCACAATACAAAATAGGTTTGTTTACATCGTAACTAGATGTAATCAAATGATAAATTCCTCTATCAAATACTGTGTTTGTTGATGCATTGTACCAACCGGAGGTCCTCTTTGTACGAAAGGGAGGTATAGTCTAAGACTCTTCAAAATGAAGTTACCAGTTACAAGGTAGTCATTTCTTATATTGTCAACTGAATTTAAGAACTTGAAAAAATATACTATATATAGTTTTTCAGATCCTTGTTCATTGTTTTAATTGTCATGATTGTGGATTATTATTTGGCAATCATACCAAATTTCCTTATAAATTACTTCTATTGGCGTCAAGTGTTACTATCATATAACTTTGAAGTTCACATATTTTGCTATAAATACATGTGACATGCTGAATTTTTGTCTGAGAAAAAGAAATAAAAATCATTTAAAAGATGCATATCTTTTGAACATTCAAACTATCATAATTATGTAGTATTAAGAATTTGTTTTTCCTCCCAATGTATCTTCCGGTTTGATAGCATTCTAATATCTTAATTGAACTTTGCTCTCACACTTGTATTTGATTATAGTGTTTATAGTTGAATACAAATGCCCCTGAACATGTTTTTACTTTTAAAAATGGCACCAAAAGGGAATGTATCTGGAAGAAAGTGCCTTTTCTTTAGTTTTTATTTGAATAATAATATTTCTGATAATAGAACTTATTTTTGACTTAAGTTATTTTTAGGGCCAGTGCTTACAACTATCTAAGCAGAGACGAAACTTTAAGTATTTATTTGTAATGTTGAAATCAATTGTTTTCGTTGTGCAGTTTTATGTACTACTAGGGATTATTAAGTCAATCTGAAATAGAAATCAATTGTTTTGAGCAAAGAATAAAGTGTGAATTTTTGCAGTAAATTAAATTAGAGGTGAAAAATGTGAAAGTCCCATGATTACAAGGAGATGTGAGCCATGGGACAGCAATGCATCAACAAAAATAACCAAAAGGTATATGATGTTTTCAAAAACAAGTTGAACACTTATAGCCCACTAAGAATGGAAGAACCTGTATAAGATTCACTAAAATCCAGGTACTTTAATATGAAACTTGCAGAAGGTGATGAATTGCAATGTAAGACATGTCAAACTAGTAAAATGCTGGACAGGTAGAACTTAAATTTACATAAAATTTCACTATTGAACTACTTGCTTCCAAAAGAAAGTTGGTACAGTACTAAATCAACAGACAGGAACACAGCATATCATATGCTTTAGTTATGTTTGCACAGATATTTTACTGATAGAACTCAGTACTGATTTCTCATGATACTTTAATGTTAAGATTGGGGTCATATTATAATTCTATACAAGAATATGTAAGACTCTGTGAATTTAATGAAAAGATGTTGTATTGATATATTGTCATGTATAATGATATATGCATATATACCAAATATTTTAGGTCAATAATTCAATAACATTATCTATATTGTTAAGAAATTATTTCAATATTGTTATCTTTGCAGTCCAAAAGTTGATATTAAACACACGAACATGCCTCTACGAGCCAATCTAAAGTTACAGCTACAAAGACAGCAGATTGAAGAGGAGAAGAAAAGAAACCAGACCTTGTCACAGTCATACAAACCTCCCCCTTCACAACCACAGGTCATACAGTTTCCTATATCATCATCAGTTTCAAATGTCGACTTGAATGTAGCACCACAGATACTTAAAGTAAGTGTTTTACAGTCATCATCAACCTGTTTAACATACCTGTTACATGTTTTGTGCTCAAAGGTGTTAAGCATTTTATTTGACAATGAGTGTAGCAAAATATCCAATATATAACACTGGAACAAAGCAAACATTTGAAAGAAAAAGTTTGTTTTACAGTGATTGGAATAAGCTTGCTTGATTGGTTGTTTTGGACAATGTCCAGTGGCAAATATTTCATGCATATTAAGGCCAAGGAATAAACTTTACCATTGATCTTTTTGTCATTTGATGGTACTTCATATTCTCCAATTCTCTTTTACCCATTTCGTAACAAGTCGAACTCTAGACATTTCTGTTTCCAGTTTTTGGGGTCAAACTGTCGAGGTCAAGTCACAACAGTAAATAAAAAGACTGAACTTAGGCAAAATTTTTGTTTGCAGAAGTTAATCTTTTGAACCATATTTCCATCCTTTACCAAACCAATTTTAATAATGCCACATGGGAGGAAGAGATGCCTATAATGTTTGAGGTAGTAGGTAAAAGTTCAAGGTCACTACCTGAATAGACTAAATTTTATGGGAAATTTCATTCCTGACAAAAAGTTTAGGGAATAAGGGGCCAAAAATAAGCATTTTTCTAGTTTCCAGACAATAACTTGTGTTCAAATGTATGGATCTCTCTGAAATTGTACTGCAAGGTACCATACATGTATATACCATAAAGGGAAGGCTGGGATTAATTTTGGGGGTAATTCCCTCAAAATTTTAGTAATTAGGGGCCATAAAAGGGCAAAAAAAACAAGCATTTTTCTAGTTTCAGGACAATAACTTGTGTGTAAGTGTATGGATCTTTATGAAATTGTACTGCAAGGTTCCATATCACAAAGGGAAAGCTGGGTTTGAGTTTGGGGGTAATTGCCCTAAACGTTTAGGAATTTGGGGCCAAAAAACAAGCATTTTTCTAGTTTCCAGACAATAACTTGTGTTCAAGTGTATGGATCTCTCTGAAATTGTACTGAAAGGACTCGGGCGATAATCTTGCCGGCGAAATGATGATTTAAGTGGCCAAAGAATTTTGAAAATCGCTAAATCTCGCCAGCCGACTGACTTCATGGCGAAGTCAAATCGCTATGAAAATCGGTAAAAGGGAGACAACTTGTGAATTACAAGTCTCTCAGGTAAAAAAAAAATGGCGACTGACAAGGAAAATCGAGATTTTCGAAACGACCCAGGACTAATACTGTCGACAATCAATTTAAATAAATACAACGGCGACTTTGAACTTCCTTGGATATAACATTTAAAACTATTCAATCGGAAAACTGACCGTCTGTTCAAGTTATCATTTTACAATGATTTTTATCTGAGGATGTTGCGTAATCACTCAGCTGATTTGTTTTATTTTTATTTATTACGAGTCGATCAATTTGTACTATTCGGTGGGTTAAGGGTGGGAATTAACGGTAGATTTATTATATTCATTGCATAAAAATTGAAATATAAAAGGTAGAAAGACAGCTGATGGATAATGAGATTGCAAACGTACGACACTCGACCAGCTGTGATCAGCAGTGGATTTTTTTTTCATGACAATTTCGTTGATAGGGAAGATATCTTTAAAAAATGATAGAAATTAGCTCTGCATCGGTTAATTAATATGTGATTGACAGATATTTTCATTTATAGGCTTACAATCTTTAACGAGAATCTCAATTTACAACTACATGTAACATGATGTCCTTGACATTCAATAATGTTTTACAAAATAATGACAAGTGGTGATATAAATTAAATTCCCAGTCATGTGAAATTCATCAGGTAAACTGGGAGTCATATTTTTCTGGACATTTAAAAATAAATTGAGGCAGATGCACATGAATTTAATGCATCATAATATTACTAGGCTACTGAGTAACTCCCTCATGTCCCAAGCAACAAATTTTATTTAAACTTTGACAGTACAAATGGTATCAATGAATAAATAACAACTATATTGTCTAAACCTTTTTATTAAGAACTTTCTATATATACATTTTGTACAATAACATGAAAAAACTATATTTTTTATTGCATATAAAACAATTTCCTTAGTGATAAGCACGAGAACACTATGCAACCGAAACGGTAATGGAATCTCACTTCTCCAAGAAATTGACCACTTCTCCCTTCTCTCTCATGGAAGGAGAAGTCACTTCTCCCTCTCCAAAATCCTAGATTAGGCCCTGTGCAGCAAGGTACCATACCACAAAGGAAAAGCTGGGATTGAGTTTGGGGGTGATGAATTCATAAGGAGGTTCAAAAAATTGGGGGGGGGTTCATTTTTTTTCTTTAAAATTTCCATTTTAAATTGGTTATTTCTGATTTATATATAAAAGCAAATAATAATGATATGGTTTGAATAGGTAAATTAAAAAATTTTAAGTTCTTAGACCACTTTCATTCTGTGTGAGAAACCTATGCTGTGTCAAATATTTAATTACAATCCAAATTCAGTGCTGTATCAAGCTTGAATGTTGTGTCCATACTTGCCCCAACTGTTCAGGGTTCGACCTCTGCGGTCGTATCAAGCTGCGCCCCAGCGGAGCATTTTATTATAACTAATTTTGAGAAGTGACATATATACATTGTAATCTCCTATGATAAGTAGAAAGCTATTAAGTGTTGAGAGGTTGCATGTATAATTTCCTTTCTGTATACAAAATGATCCATGACAAAGGCTACAGGAAATAATATGTTGTACCTCTTACCAATGACAGGGTAATTATGGGATCATTTTCCTCACAGAAATACTGTTTTCGTGTTTTCTATGTTTTAACTATCTGTTCCTTTTGTTGGATACTTAGATTTCTAGCTTTTGACATCATCTGACTTTGGGAAAAATCCAAGGTTTTAAAGATATATGCATATGTAAAAAATTAAAACACATAACGTGTTCAATTTTGGGTCTGATCAGAAGTTTTGTTTTGCTGGGTTTTACCCTTTCCCTAAGGCATGCAACACCTACCATTGGTCTTTTGTGGGGAAGGGGTTCTCAGTACAAACATTTTATCAATTTTAATGAAAACACACTATTTTTTTCAATAACATACAATATCAAGATTTTTTTTTTAAACCAGTGTTGATTTTACGATTTTACTCATTTCCAATAGGAACAAAAAAACATTTTCACTTCTGAAATATTTTTTTCAGATGTTTGTAATTAATGTTTTGTATGACACAAAAATCCAAAAGTCATCTTGGTTTTGTTTTAATGAGGTTTAATTTTTTTCTAATCATGTATAAAGTTTTTTGGTCTCTTGAGTAATATGATCAGAACAATTGGCATACTATAGATCTGCAGAACTAATGTAAATGTCCATGGACTGCCTAAACCATTGGCACTGGGCCTCTGTGGTCCCTATTAACCAGGTTACCAGGGACACTGCTCCTTAAGCTGGAATAATTAGGCCACCCTTAACAAATTCTTTGTTTGATGTTGCATACCCATACCTTGTAGGGTTGGGTAGAAAGTTAGGGATTTTTTTTAGTGAAAACAACATAATTTACATGTTTTAAACAAGAAAACGATGTTAGAGTAGGAAAACATCTTTTTAAAAAAGAATTGAAATGATTTGTGTCATAAAATTTTTCGGATAGGCTGCTTTTTAAGTGGGTAGGTAGGCAACATCAAACGATTTAAATACTATTTTAGGCCTTACAAAGTAAAAGTAATAAAAACATTTAAAAATCCATAGGAATTGTCTACAGGTCTGTGGCTGTTTTCACGAAAAGTCATGAACATTTCTGTTTAACTTACGAGCAATTTTCATTGTAACATTTTTTGTGAAAAGAGTTGCAGTGCAAATATATACTGATAAGATAAGATAACTTTTATTTTTCCAATAGAGGGCCTATAATGTGCAAAATCAGTACAATGATTAGCACATTAAACATTTATGATAGTGATAATACAAAAGATAACAGCTCAAATATGGAATATAACATGAGTGAATAATATAAACACAAGCCATAATGTTTAGTGTTTGTTGACCATGCATCAGTAGCATCTTCATATCTAGTCTGAAATAATTTTTCTTGAGCTAAGTCTTCCTCATGGCTGATACAGATGAATAAATATATGTACCCTGTAATCGTATTCATGCATTTCTAAAAAAAATGGTACATGGATGCTGAATAGTATTAGTACAACTTTTTGTTAGAAATGCCTGAAGAATTTAACTGGCTTTATATCTGGTTTGTAAACAAGTTCCCATGTAAAATATCCACACAAAAATTAACAATAAAATCACTGACATGCATGAATGTAGGGATGAGAAGAAAACTGTAGATTATAAAAACTTTAGATAACCTGTGAGAATTTGAATGTCAAGGCCTATGTAGTGTGGACTTGTATAGTAATTAGGCTGTTAGCCTTGGATAAACTGTCTTGTATCAAGTATCATTAATGAGGGGGTGGTGTCCTTCATCAGATACTTTGTATGGGAAATATTCTTAGTCAGCATGGGCTTAAAGGTAAGAACATAAGTTTAGGGAAATGTTATTTTTTTTTTAGAATTCATAACATTGAATTTGTTTAAATTTTGTCTTTTTTGTTCTTGTAACCTGTAGACCCATAATATCTTGCAAAGAGAATTTTTTTTATTTGTATGTATATACAGTGTATATAGACATGTAGTCTTGGTAGTCTTGGTATGACAATGTTGGCAACCTCTTGTTATAACAGGAAAAAAAAAACACTTACTTAATCTTAAAGAACATCTTAAATAGTCCCAAAAGCACCCCCCCCCCCCCCAAAAAAAAAAGAAAAAAGAAAAATTAGCTTGATATTTAAATTTTCATTGGTTTGTATGTAATTTTGTGGTGAATTATACTTATCTTGTTCTATGGCAGTGCCAGGTACAGTTAGTTTGCACCTTGTTTTAATATTCATCTTTCACACTTGATCGGTTAAAAATTCAATATCTCTGTTTGCCTGATCCCGTATGTTGCTTACAAATTTGTTATATCCTGAAAGTTATATATGAATATATATAAATTTTGAAATTATATTTATGTATTCCTGGTAAGTCAAAAATTAAACTTAATCATTATTTGCAGCAGTTGTTTTCCTCATGGCCACCTCAAATTTAAGTTCTAATTATTCAAAGATGAAAAGGTTTAAACAGGAAGGAGGAAATTTAAATCAGGAAATATATTGTCAGCATTTTAAAAGAGTATTAACTAATGTAGATTGATTTAAACATCCTAATGGTACATCAAGAAGACCTCTTAACTGTCTAATATGAACTTTTGTCCCCCTGCACACTGCTCGATGAGGTTATTCACTGTTGTGCCATTGAAAAAATAATTTGTACCAGTTTGGACAAAGAAGTTGTATGGAATAAATATATGTATACATATATAATGAAAATTGTGGTTTTGTCAAGTGTAGAAACTGCTTCTAAAATAAGTAAATATGGAAAAATTGTGGAAGTCAAGCTTCAGAAATCTTGGGTAAGCACCAGAGGTCACACATATTTTGATATGGGTAATTTTTCATGTTTCTGATTTATCATTTTCAATGAAAATTTAAACGCAAGAAAATCAAATTGATTAATAAACTAGGAAAAATAAAGTAAAAATTTTCTAAAATTTATATATAATTTTATTAATAGGTTCACTTATTTTGCAGGTCGAGTCAAAGTTACAAAACCCCACTCAGTTCCATGTCCAAGAGAGCAAGAAACGACAAATTCATATGTTCCTTAGCAATCCTCATGGCAAAGTTACATCAGTACAGTCTCTTCCAGTCTCAACTCACTCACAAGAGCCTCTACATACACTCAGTGGTAGTGCCCCACTGGACCAGGAAAGTCCTTTGTCGGCAGACCTTAGTAGTTCAGCCTTGTCCAATGATATGGTAGACGTAAGTATATATTGAGTGGTGCCATCAAGCTAATACTGTGGATTCATTATTAATAATTGGATACCAATGATTGTGGATTTTGGGTTACAGGGGAACCCTGAATTTAAATTTTCAACAAATTTCAAATTTTCTATTGAAATGTATGCAGACAACACCATGAAATCAAATATCCACAAAATTGCACTGTTTCCTCAATCCACGAAAATGTGTACCCATAAAATAAACGAGAATCCACAGTAACTTAATTTTTATGCCCACGCCGTCCTTCTGTACATCTGTCCATCTGGGCACTAAAACACGAAAGTTGATTAGCAGGGAAAGTTTTCACTAAATGAAATTTCTGTCAATTATATGTTATGAATTTGTAATAAATGTAAAAATTTGTCAATAGAGGACTTAGTTTAGTATAAAAGAACTTGTTTCATATGACTTTAAATTATAATAATTAAAGCTAGATGGACATATTATATCTTTTAAAAACATCTGTTTCAATTATTGTTTTTTTTTCAGATGGACCTGATTAATGAGTTAATTAGTTTACAAACAGTTGATCCTCAAATGGACAGTGATCTCAGCCTTATAGAACCAACTCTGGACCATCTTTCATCTACTGTAAGTGGACCACTTACATTCAGTTTATGTATTTTCCGGTCGACGCATGTTATATCATTGTGATGCATTTGATATATGTATTATTCATACATATAGTCTGAGTAATACATTTTAGTCATCAGAATTTGAAATACTTAATAATTTGGCAATCTTTTTTAAAATCTGATAAAATTGAGGATTTTTTAAAATATTTTAGCTCCAGCTTAGATAGGATATGACTCAAGATATTTACTTTTGAATGCAGGGGTGGGGGGGGGAGATGTTGGATATGGGATTCCAATGTTAAACTGTAAAAGCTACATAACAGAAACAACCTAAGTCCTAGATTTATTATTATGCTTAATCAAAAACGATATTTATAATTGCAGTTGCCACATGCAAATTTATTTGACATATATGAAGTACCAAGAGAAAATTCTAACCAGCCATCTTCTTGCCCGGCCAAGTTTCCGCCCACCACAACCCCAGATTTTATGACAGACGAAGAAGCCAGAATGTGGCAGAAAGACAGACAAAAGAAGGATAACCACAATCAAAGTAAGTAAAACTGGTTGTACAAGTAAAAATTCGTAAGGGTTCCACAGAACCCAGTGTCTCGCCTACTTTTGCTGCTAGTCACAGGCTCAACAAAAATGGGGAAAAAATTATTAAAAATTTTCTTATAGATACTATTACTTGATTGTAAGAAGCTTCTGTCCAAGTTTGGTAAAAATCCAGAATGGTTTATGAATCTAATAAATGTTTTAAAAACTTTTAACTACAGACTGTATGTAATGTTAACTGGAAGAAAAACTAAGTCCATTTATAAGTAATATACGGAAAAATAGGAAATATATTTTTACAAAATTTCCTTCTAGATACTAGCTTTTGATCATAAACAAGCTTCTGTCCAAGTTTGGTACAAATCCAGGATAGTTTAAGAAAGTTATTGAAATTTTAAAAACTTTAACCACAGAGTGAATGTAATGTTAACTGGCAGAAAAACTAAGTCCATTTATAAGTAAAATACGGAAAAACAGGATTTTTTTTTTTTATAAAATTTACTTCTGGATACTATCTTATGATCATAAACAAGCTTCTCTCCAAGTTTGGTAGAAATTCAGGATAGTTTAAGAAAGTTATCAAAATTTCAAAAACTTTAACCACAGAGTGAATATTTGTGGATGCCGCCGCCAACAACGGAATGTAGGATCACTATGTCTTGTTTTTGCAACAAAAGTCGCAGGCTCGACAAAAAGGACAAAATCTACATTGTAATATATGCTCAATAACTGAAGAAACACACCATCTCTATTAATCTCTTTGGAATGAAAATTTCTATTGCATTTATCTTTTTTAAGAATAATAGAAATGAGTCAAAATTTTTACACAGAACGTTTAAGTCATAAACACCAAATTCTGTGAAAATGAGAGTTACTTAATTTTAATTTTGGACATTTCAAAAGACACATTTTTAAACTTAAAAACAAAAAAAGTGTTGCCAAATTGGTGAAAAGGTAGGTCCTGTGTATCTTTTCACTTGAAAGCAACAGAAATGACTTTGATTTTCAGTTTCTTAATCAAATTCTTGTCTGATGATCAATTTGAAATTGGCTTATCTAAGACTTTTGTTTTTGACTTTTGTGGTTGAAATCTCCATTGTCACCATTAAAATGATTTTTTTTTTTGTAAACGCCTCATTAATTTTAATGTTATGCTGAAATATAATAGGTTTCTACAACTTGTTGCAATTACAAGAAATTGTGAAACTACTAGTACTATATATGTAAGATGTGGTGTGTTATTTGTGTGGTTAAGTATATTTTGCTAGTTAGATAATGTACAATTTTCTCCATTTCCAGTTAATATTTAAATAAATTTTAGGAAATTAGATCATTCTACAGCTATGAAAAGCTGTTCATTTTAATACTTATTTTCCAAATAACTTATGCAGTACTCTGTTGATAATTTCATAATGCTTTTCTATTTTTACAAGTTAGGTATTTCTACAATATTTAAAATTACATTTCATAAAAGATAGGACTTTGTCCTCAAATAAGTGTATGTATTCATACATGTACTTCAAAGTAGTGATTTCCTTTCGTATTTATTGAATGTATTTCGGGAAGTCATCTAAGTGGGGATGTGTCCTTAAATCTATTGTGACAAATCTGTATAGCAATAAACTTTAAAAATAAGTTTTTTAAATGATTTATTACCACATGAAACATCTTAAGAAGAAGTTTTCTTAATCTACCAACATTCACAATTTTTTCGAGACTAGGGGCAATTTAGACCTTGACACAGTATATAGAGACACTTGTTTATTGTTGAAGATAGTATGTTATCTTCTATTTTTTGTGTTGTTGTGTTGCTGTATCATACCCCACATGCTTATTTCTGTAGTGCTGTTGATTCATTGTGGGTTCCAATTTTTATGGATAGAGGAAAAATTGTATTTTTTAAATGCATACTTGTTTTTGTGGTTTTAACAAAATCTGCATAAAACCTTGTAGAAAATCTGGATTTTGTTTAACTCTGATTTTTGTGGTTAACTTATATCCACGAAATCAACGTAAAATACCACACCACGTAAAATAATGAATTCACAGTAGTCATCTTTTCCTGTAAATTGACTATTTAAAATAACTTAAGATCACTAAGTTAGTTCTATTTTTCCTCTTTTATAGTTGAAAGACGGAGACGGTTTAATATAAATGACAGAATAAAAGAACTAGGAACACTGTTACCAAAGACTATAGATCCGTAAGTATCATACATTAGGTTTATAGAAGGAGGTATATTTGAGGGATGCTATATAAACAGGTTGATACATTACTCAAGCTATCAGGCGTATTAAAATTATGGTTCTAAAAGAATCAAATTGCATGCTATTGACTTTGTTTTGGACAAATGTAAAAGGAAAACCATAAAAATTGGTTGAAATCCATCTTCTGAATTTATGTTGAATAGTGTATCTGAAGCTCTTAAATGCTTGTTAAAGTCATAATGTATTCCTTGCAAAAAGCACTTTTGGTTTTATACCCCTGGCAAAAAAAAGTTGGGAGGGGGTATATAAGAACCACCTTGTCTGTCCGTCCGTCTGTCCATCTGGCTTTTTGTCTGTTGCATTACTTTTGTAGCATTGAACGAATAATACCAATTAAGTTCAGTCTGACTTTGACCCCTTATAGATTATATCCTTGTCTATTTCTTGTAATTTGTATGGCTCAGAACTTTTGTTCTGTAAAATTTGAGTTAACCAAACTTGATAAACAGTTGTGTCATGGACTGGGGGTGTGGCATATACCAAAGTCAGGTCACTCTGACCTTGATTTTGACTTTGGCCCCTCTGATTGTAAAACCTTGTCTGATTTGTGTCCTGCACATAACTTTTGTAGTGTTGAACTAAGTTCGACCAAAGTTGGTATGTTTGATGCATCATGGGATGTGGGCTTGTCATATAACAAAATCAGGTAATTCTGACCGCGTCAGTTGAAGTGTGCAGCTCTATTTTTCTCTTGCTCTGTTGAATTTTTCTCAACAACTACAAGTAATATGCCATACTGAGAGAGGTTTTAAGTTCCCTCAACGTTCTATTCCTGTTTGCCATAACCTTTCATATATTTGAAATGATGATGCAAATTGATAGATTTATGTATTTACTGCAAAATAGAGACTGTCTTAAATAGCAAAGAAGCTCACAATACATCTTGTTGGCACACTTTTACATTACTGTACCTTATGATAATAGTCTTATGATAGATTGTAAGATAGATTTCCAGACCAGTAACAATGTGTGATACAATTAGTTCTGATCAACTAAAGGAATGATCAAAACAATGAATCTATAAGGTCTTCTCACACGGTGTTATCTAGTTTCTGTGGATTTATTATTATTTGTGGGACACCAACTAATTTCGTGGGTACAGGTGAACTACAATTTTAGATGTACAACGAAGTACACATTTTCAATAACCTTTTATGCAGGCTTTTGTTAAACCACAAAATCAAATATCCACGAAATTCCATGATTCCATTATTCCTTGATCCACGAAATGTAAATGAATCCACAGTATAAAGCTTAGGTAGATTGTTTAAAATCAATATTGACTTGCTGTGAATGAGAAAATAGTTTAATTTCCCTGACCTCACTGACATTCTGTATAATGGCGTGGTCATCAAGTAATTATGTATTTAGCATTTTAAAGTATAATGATCATTAAAAAAATTACACCAGAAATGAAGCAGTAAGTATAGCTGCATGTATAGTGTCATTGTGAGAGAATTGAAATATTTACTGATAAGATAAAATTACAAAAGCTTGGGGGTCAGCATTGTGAAATTGTCATTTAATGTAACAATAAAAAGGAACTAGTAAATGTATTGTGCACCAAACAATAAGTCCTTGTGTCAAAAGCAACAAATCCTGTTAATTTCCTTCTTCCCAATTATGTTGGTCATGGCCAGATTTTGACATATTTTATTTAAGTAGGACAAAGAAGAATTCCTTACATCACTTTATTCACCAGTTTACACTTAAGATTTCCTAGTCAATCAAACTAATAAATTTTGATCAAATTATATTGAGAACTTTGATTTATTAAACCCTTGACTTTAAATAAAGTTGTAATATTTATGTATGTGTATTGTTATATCCTGATTTAGTAGGTCGGCATATTAGAATTAAAAATGAACCAAAGTTAGGGACATGTTTAAATTATATATATTAACATTTTACACCTTTTGGGAATGATTTCAAATATGGGATCAATAAATTTGCATAGAAATATACATGTACATGTTAATGAGAGTCTAGATAGGGATTACAGAATAGCGAATAATGGAAGAATCAAGAATATTGGAGAATGAGCAACAAAATTCCAAAATAGAGCTTAAAAAGTTAAAGCAATCAGAAATGAAGACCCCCTCCCATATCTTCCCCCTCTCCAGTCAAGTCCAAGGAGACTTATTTTAAAGAGTAAGAGACTAAAATAACTTATAAAAAAGGCAAAGCAGATATTTGGGATATATTTCATCTCTGTGATAAGTGCTTTTATATATGATTCATATTTTGTAACAGCAGAAGCCAAGCTTTCATAAATATGTTTGTAAACAATGAATATGGGGTCAAATGAGTTTCATAGCAACAGATGCTCTATAAAATATTGTTGTAAACAGACTAAAGATATATGTCAAATCAATAGTTAGATGTACTATTTTATTATTTGTCCTACAGACAGGACAGGTTGTTTTGTAAACAACAGTAACATGTGTTTTGGAGAGAATGATTCATGAAAAGTTCACTGTCCTAATGATATATATGTGATACTTGCATCTTGCATTGGATTATGTTTCTATGTGTACCACATTGCAGTGATATTAAGGGGAGATAACTTTTGTTATCTTAAAGCCAATGTGATTTGATAGATCTGTTAAAAGTGATGAAAATGGTAGACAGTCAATGTTTTAAAATATCGATTTGCAAAAAATGTCTTTAATTCAGAATGAGAAATGAATTCTCTGATGTTTGTATTAGAAACATTTAAGGCAGTGTTAAATGAGCATACATCCTGATGTTTGTCTATAGCATTGTTCACATTGACAAAAAGTGCCCTTTTTAAATGAGCATACATCCTGATGTTTGTCTATAGCATTGTTCACATTGACAAAAAGTGCCATTTTTAAATGAGCATACATCCTGATGTTTGTCTATAGCATTGTTCACATTGACAAAAAGTGCCCTTGTTAAATGAGCATACATCCTGATGATTGTCTATAGCTTTGTTCACATTGACAAAAATTATCCTTGTTAAATGAGCATACATCCTGATGTTTGTCTATAGCTTCGTTCACATTGACAAAAAGTGCCCTTTCAATCAGTTTGGTATACCGTTACACAATTTTTATGGCTTTATAAAAAGGGCACTGTTATGAGGATAATATCATTGTTTTATCATTTGCTTCTTGTAAGAACAGAGCTGTATATATTTCTGGTTGCCTGAGGTTTAAAAAAGTATTTTATGAAAAATGTTGAATCCAGAATTTGATCAAATATTATAATATAGTTTAAATGATTTCTTATATTTGATCTCCTACTTATGCTCTATGTTGTTCATTAAAGGGACATGAGACAAAACAAGGGCAGTATACTGAAAGCATCAGTAGACTACATCAGAAAACTCAGGCGAGATCAAGAAAGACTCAAATATGTGGAAGATAGACAGAGGAAGATGGAAGCAGCTAACAGGAAAATGATGTTGAGGATGCAGGTAAAGGAAAGTTTATAACAGGATCCTTTATCATTAGGAAATTAAGATTTTGAATTTTATTTAACAGAAATGGTGGCTTAAGAACTTTTATTGTCCAATCCTAATCTAAAGACATTTTAAAAAATTGGTTAACCACCCTTTCTATAATTTATAAAAAAAAATGCACCCAAAACATATGAAGTTGGATATTCTACTTTTTTACGTTTACATTTTTGGTGACAAAATTCATTTGTAAGGTCCAAGGGAAGTAACTCTAGTTAACCATTATTTTTTTTATTTCAGCAACTTGAGTTAGTATTGAACGCTAGTGGAATGACAAGTGGTATGAAGGATGATATGGATCAGTTAGCCAATTTGTCAGCACAATCTGCCTTTCAAGTTTCTCATTCCTACGAACAAGAAATAGAACAAACACCTGCTGTGATAGTGACATCCTCTCATGGATCTTTTGAAGACTTTATGGACGATAGTTCTCCTGTCAGCGGAGATCCTATGTTATCATCAAACCCAGTCAGTCCTAATTCCGTAAATGATTCTAGTGATTTATTCAACTGCTGAAGAGAAATGATTGGAGATCATGTGTAAGCTCTCTTACATGAGCATATCGTTAATCAGTTGACTCATTACGATTTGTTCTGTATTTGTACAGTTTTTTTCAAGTGCTTAATTTAGACCTGTCTTAAAACTTGTACACAAAATTACTTATTCTTCACAATTTGAAGTACTTAAGTTATAGTTTGGGCTTGCCCAGAAATATAAAGCTGACTTGTTGGTCTACAGTGCCTTAAATGGTTGGGATAAATCAGCATCAACTACAAAATTGTAAAGTATCTATCACTCTACATCTACAATGCAGAATTTTCCAAAACCCAAATACATCCCTTGCTGTAAATATTTTGTTAAAATTGAGTCTTCCAACTGTTTGAAGTTGGGGTTCAGATGTAGATATGTATATAATCAGATTGTTATGATGTATATATTCATTAAACAGATATCTGGCAGTGCTAAATGTGACCTAATGACAAGTTTTATCATTGTGTCATCATTCAATAGACTTAGGGATAGTGCAATACTACACAGAAATATTCAAAGATTGTTATGGTCATCATTAAATGCTATGAGATATTTTTTAATTTTTGCTGAATTTGTACATAAGATGAATACAGTGAAACCTGATTAAACCAAACATCTTTGGAATAAACCTGATTAAACCAAACATCTTTAGAATAAACCTGATTAAACCAAACATCTTTGGAATAAACCTGATTAAACCAAACATCTTTGGAATAAACCTGATTAAACCAAACATCTTTGGAATAAACCTGATTAAACCAAACATCTTTGGAATAAACCTGATTAAACCAAACATCTTTGGAATAAACCTGATTAAACCAAACATCTTTGGAATAAACCTGATTAAACCAAACATCTTTGGAATACCATTGTTTGGATAAGACAAGTGTTAACTTAACACACAATAGATTACTCATAATCATTGTACGTCCTGCTGCAAAAGTTAACTTAGGACAGGTTTGTGGTTATGTCAGATTTCACTGTTTTCACAGTTATCATCGCCATGTATTATAGAAATACAGATTTTTTCAAACTATAGTTGAAGGTATTAAGCTTGATCATCATTAATTATTTAGTTTCATAAATATTGACTGTATTTTTTATTTGTACATTAAACAAAAAATAATATCCATTCCAGATAAAAATATATAATATATGTCATCATGTAAATGCATCTGTGTGACAGCTATTACTGAACTGCATGTAAGGTTTTATTTTCCTTGACAGAGACTTTAATTTCACTAATTTTTAATTAGCTGGAAACAGGAAGATTTAAACTTTATGTTTTTTTTTTAACTCTGAAATTTCTGTTTCTCTTATTTTCAAAGAAAGTGCTAAAATCGATAAGACTTAAGAGGACAAATTTTTACTGGATAATGTGTGATTTGGCTAGTATGATTTAAAAAAAAATGTATGAATTGAATGCTGTGGTGTATGTTAGCTGTTCGCCATTAATGACATTAGGTGTTGAAACCAAGGTAGCTGACAATGGGAGCTGTGAGAAAAGGTTAGAGGCAAATATTGGAAAATCAAAATATCCATCATATTAAAAAAGTTATGGACACCATTTGTATATAATTTCATTTCAGTTGAGAATGTATAAGTAATTTCATTAAGATGATTGAATGTAATATCCAATTTTCAACAACTTATTTAAATTTAATCATGTATATGATTTGTTGTTTAATTGTACTCATTTTCTTTTTAATTTTGTATGAGTTCTCATTACTTTTGCAATGTAGACTTTTTACTTTAAATTTAATCATCCAGCAAATAATTGTGTCATTGCTGACAGATTATTATCAATTAATATATCACACAGCAAAGGAGAAACAAAAAATATGTTTTGGGGAAAGTGAAACTCAAAATTTTTATTTTGTCTTGTTATTCTAAAAACAATTATATTTAATCTTCAGTCGCCCTGTTGAGGCTGTTGTTTTAATACAGGTTTTCATTTTGCATGTTGACTATACAAGGTAACCATTTAAACCTCAAGTTTTGACTGCCCACAATAAATGTTGTGCATGAATACGTAGATCTGTTGTAGTACTGTTCGTCAAAAGGCCATTACTTTTGGAAGAGAATGAAACCTTACAAAAAGTATTGATACAACTAGAAGTATTTTGCTACATTTTTTTAAATGAATGGTTTCAAATTTAATGACATTTGAGTTCAGTGGGTGGTTGTAGAATGTTCAGTTATCAGTTGGTGTTACTGCGGCTCTATTCACCAAAAATTCTTACCAGTTAAAAAACTTGCAAGTCTTGAAATACTCAGTGTAACTTAAGAACAAATTTCAATGGTAAGATTTTTGTAAAGAGTTGCTGGTCTGTATAGACATGAAGATTAACAAAAAGTGTAGCTTTTATTATTACTCAACAGCATTTCGTAAAAAGAAAGTTAAATGGTTGTATAAATTGATTATGATTATAATTACTGTTATTCAATTGGAAAAATTCTGTTGAAAACATTTACAATGTTGTTTATTTCATAGGAATGTAAATTTTATCAATTTCACGTTTACATGAGACCAAAGTTTTATGGAATAATTTCTTGTTATTTTTCAGTCAAAAGGCTTCAAAATTATGATTTTGTTAGAAAAGGACTTAAGTTATCAAGGGGTTTCTATTGTTACAAAATGTCTTTTATAAATGATTGTATTTTAGATGTAGATAATATAATTCTAATGTTAAAATGATACAAAGATTAAAATACTGTTGTTGATAAAGAGAGCGATAGAATTAAATACCATGTTTGATGTGATGGTTTGAAGAAGATACCTTAAAATTGTAAAGTTTTATTTGCATATTACCTTCAAATGCAAAGTTTTATTAGAATATTACTTTTAAATATAAAGTTTTATTCAAAGCTATGCAGTAATTTGACAGTTAGTATTTCGATTTACAAAAGAAGAAAAGGGAGAGAACTGTTGGTGCTAATACAAGAGAGATAGCATACAAATAAGACATTTTGATATTAATACATGGTATGATTAATTCTATCCTCTTGTTGTTTGTTAATGAGTTAGAGTCTTGATTTTTTTAGATTTTATACTACAACTGTTGATATTACTTGAATGGAATAAAAGATTGAAAATAAAACTTGTTTACAATTTAGTGCACAAATGGGTTATAATAATTATAACACTGATACTTCTCATATCCCAGAAAACATTTGGTAGAATGAAACCAGATTTAGAACTAGTTCTTAAGTAGACCTTTCTTAATGTATGGCATATAAAGCTGAAATGGTTTGACTTAGAAAATAAAATTCTGTTTGCCATCAACTACTTAACAAAAGCATTTGTGAGAGGTAATTTGTAGTATGGTTCCACATCTTTATCATTTTGGCAATTATCCAAATTCCAGGATGGCTATGGCTTCTTAACAACCCAATATTGCAAGAAATATCCTTGTGAGTTTAAAGAACCCATTTGGTCTCTATTTAATATGAATGACCACGAGATAAAATTACTAAGTAGGATTTTATTCCTGGCCAATAATAATAGGGAGCTTTACGTTTTCCCTTCTGTGTATCTGTTCGTCTGGCTCAGATCAGGTTAAAGTTTAGGGTTACCGTAGTTTACCATCAAGTTGTGGTCACATCAACTTGAAACTTGTATACATGTTCATCATGATATCAACTTTTAAAAATATATGCAAAATGAGGGTTTTGACCAAGATTTTCTGTTTCACTGATCAGTCCGTACCTACCATTTCTTATACTTATACCAAACCAATTGCAAAGTTTCAATTACAAACATGTGTTGCAGGATCTCAATATTGACGACTTCAAGTCTAAACCTCCTGATTGCACCTGTGCTAGTTCCTTATTCATATATAATCCAGCTGGCCACGTTATTACTGGTGACCAGAACATTGTCAATGACTCTTCTCTGCGAAATGTGTTATCCAAAGGCCCGAAATAATGTGAGCCTAAATCCATCAATTGGAACCGCAACTTCAAAATACTGATGGATTCAGTCGAGGATTATGCCAGGCAATAGGTTAAATGCAAGAAAGAAGACGTAGATACTCTTTCTGAATGGATTATGGCTGTGAGGTCGTTGATACAAATCAGAATTTAAAAACTGAATGGGTATAGGAATGCCCATGCTACATCAATCTTTAAAGATCCTAATGTTGCAAAACACCTGTCCTACCTCCACGACAAATATGTTGTTGTCCCTGCAGATAAAGCCCCAAACAACATCATTTTTGTGTGTAGATCACATTACATAAACTGCTTGGTAAATGAATAAGATATTGACAATTCACTTTGAAACTCAACATATACACCCACGACACTTACCAGGGAGGAAATCCTGGATAGTAATAGGTCTGTTTTATATTCCTTTGGAATTTCAACCAAAGATAAAGAACTGGATCCTCCATCACTATTGGATACCCAAACTACATAAGTTTCCTTACAAACAACGTTATATTGCTGGGTCTTCCAAGTGCTCCGCGAAACCTCTTTCTAAATTATTAGCATCAATTTTATCAGCTATCAAAGCAGGGCTTCAAAGTCATTGTGAAACCACCTATTCTAGAGGTGGCTTGAATCAGATGTGGATACTAAAAAATTCCAAAGATCTTTTAGAGTACCTACAATCTAAGTCTCTTCCATCTTGCAAAAGTATTAAAACATTTGACTTTTCTACACTTTACACAAGTATTCCCCATTCCAAACTTAAAAGACAAATTGAAAGAGTTGGTCCTCCTTTGTTTCATAAAAAAGAATGGCCAACATAGATACAAGTATCTTGTCTTAGGGAGGGATACATTGTACTTTATAAAAAATCACTCTGACTCAAACAAAAAAAATTATCTGAAACTGACATTATCAAGATGCTTGATTTCTTGATTGAGAGATTGGAGAACCCGTTTTTCAACAAACAATCGGCATTCCCATGGGAAACAAATGTGCTCCTCTTCTTGCCGACTTGTTCCTTTGTTCATATGAGGCTGACTTCATACAGGAACTTCTTAGGGAAAAAAAAAGAAGTTAGCAGTATCCTTTAACTTTACTTTCCGCTATGTAGATGATGTTCTCTCACTAAATAACTCTAAATATAGTGACTATGTTGAACGCATCTATCCCAGCGAACTTGAGATAAAGGATACAACAGATACAGCTAAGTCTTCCTCGTATCTTGACTAACATCTAGAAATTGACAATGAGGGCCGGTTGAAAACACAACTTTACGACAAAACGGATGATTTCAGCTTCCCAATTGTGAACTTTCCATTTCCATGTAGCAACATTCCAGCAGCACCTGCATACGGAGTATATATCTCCCAGTTGATACAATATTCCAGGGCTTGTTTTTCCTATCATGATTTCCTTGATAGAGGGTTGCTGCTCACAAGGAAGCTATTTAACCAAGAGTTCCAAGTGGTGAAGTTGAAGTCATCCTTTAGTAAATTTAACGGACGCCATCACGAGTTGGTTGACAGTTATGGAATATCCGTTCCACAGATGATAGCGGATATGTTCCAATTTTCGTAACTATAATTCCGTCCCCCTTTCCCCGAACGAGACCTACCGAATTAAGACTTATTACCGGGTTTGTACTAACATGAGCAACACGACGGGTGCCACAAGTGGAGCAGGATCTGCTTACCCTTCCGGAGCACCTGCGATCACCCCCAGTTTTTGTTGGGGTTCGTGTTGCTCAGTCTTTCGTTTTCTATGTTTTGTTTTGTGTACTGTTGTTTGTCTGTTGGTCTTTTCTTTTTTAGCCATGGCGTTGTCAGTGTATTTTTTACTTAAGAGTTTGAATGTCCCTTTGGTATCTTTCGCCTCTCTTTCACTGATTATGTTATAGTGTGAACTGAACATGGAAATATCTGGACACATTCTTATTTATAATTTCCAATGTGGTCTATGCTATTCAAACTTAAAAATTGTTATGAAAATAAGATGTAACAAAGATTGTTTGTTATTTGCAACTATTTCCTAAAAAAACAGTAAAATCCATTTGGAAACCCATTAAAAGATAGGGCATTAGTTTCCACATATATATATATATGGTATGTTTGGCAGTCTCTAAGTACTACTATTGTCATGTGAAATGGATATAATTTTTGTAACCATTTGAGTCCCAATTCCAAATAAAAACCCTTACTTGAAAAAAATTACCGCAGATAGATTGTGTGATTTTTGGATGTCTGCAGATTTTCAAAATAAATTGTACAGTACATGTATACTCCCTTATTTGTAGTAAATAAGAATTCGTTTGAACAATGATTTAAAATTGAGATATCTTATACTATGTTGGGTATGCCTCAATGAGACGGTAACCCAATGATTCGCTCTCACCCCATATGGAATTTACATATATATCGTATTAGGTCACTAACACACCATGTAACTAATAATACAATGTACATATATAGTCAGATGGTAATTTTTATTGTATGCATATATAGTCAAATGATAATTTGGATCGGATCTTTAATACCCATAATGTACTTTTGTTCGTATTTAATATCGTTTTCTGTCCGGGACATTTTCCCAATTCTATATCTCATTCAAGCCACTTGAATCTTTCCCAAATCATAAGGCAACCAATGAGAACCAATATTTGTTACGTAATAATTTCAAGATGGCGTGTATATAGTATGAAACTAATAGCGCAAAAAGCAACAAGAATAGAAAAATGCTGTCATTAAAAATAAAAATAAAAACTATCCTCAATTGTCAAAATGTCATATTCGTTTTTTTGGTTCCAAAATATAGGTGAGCGACACAGGCCCTTTAGAGCCTCTAGTTTCATTTGATTTGCGTCAAGTGAAATTTTTACAACGAATACACAGCCATATACTAGTTCGGCGCCATTATTTAACAACAAAATATCTTTTTTTTGTTTTTTTTTTCCATATATATAGATGATTGACATTTATTTGTATAAACATATAGTCACTTTGGACTCAGTTCTATCATCTGGCAATAAAACCCATTCACAGAAGTGCGTCCGTTTGGCTGTACTGGATGTATGGCAAAGCAGCAACGTCCTGTCGGAATAAGGATATTTAATCCGATACCTCGTGTAGGATAAGTGTGCCACGCTTATTGCACATAATAAAACCCTTGAAATAAATCTTTTAGAGATCTGTAGGTGGCATGTTGCAATGAAAAATTCCTACCCCTATCCAACATGCATTGGCTTATTTTCAATTGGCAGTCGAAATTGCCACACTTAATCCAGGTTGACAGCCCACTTTTCAGAACTTATATTCTATATACCTAATTGTAAATACTGTTAAGTTTTCGTCCTGAATATACATGAAATAGTTGCAACTGGACGTTCAGCAAATGTATATATATTTTGCTCTTTTTTTTTTACCGCACACCAACACTACCAGCAAGGGCATACAATACAAGGAACCACAACTGTGGCCCTGGTGTATAATTATAGTAGTTACAGATTGAGTTCGTGTTTTGTTTTTCACCTTTGGGACTTTTAAATTTCATTGAAAATTGTTATTGTCTGGTTTTTTTTTCGCTATGCCTGTTGATATTATTGAGCTGATATCGTATTCATTAGTAAATACTTAGGGCTTGCGCTTCGTTCCAAAGTGATCTTATCATAAAGGAACGGCGGAGTCTTTTGTTATTCCACAGGCAATTATTCCATAAAGACACCAGTGAGATAAAAACATATGTTTTGCTTGCTGTTATACCATAATGATATTCACCTACTTCAGCTTACATGTTAAAATCACAGTGACATACATATCTTGCAAGATCAGTAGACAATTTAGCACATTTAATAATTTACCAACAAAGCATTGTGCAACTTCTGAAATACAAACCGTTAAAAGCTTCTGAAAGTCTAACATCATAAATAAACATTTTTTATGCCCCCGCCGAGTGGCGCGGGCTTTAAGGTTTACCCTTGTCCGTCCGTCCTTAAGTACGTCCCGAAATTGTTTTCCATTCTCGAACTTTAGTTTGCCTCAACCAAATGTTCTGAAACATATACATAATGCTCATTACCACCAAACACAGATCAAGTTCAAATTTGGGTGGCGTCACTTTCACCATTCTTGAGATATGTCCGTTTATAAATGGAAAAATTGCAAAATTTTTCGTTTCCGCATTCTTACTTTATTTTGCCACAACCAAATGTGCTTATTTATACTACCAAACACAGATCAAGCACGGGTGGCGTAACTTACACTGTTCTCGAGTTACCCCATTACTGTTTGTTATTGAACAAAGAGAGCACTCAAACACCCAAGCAATCTCTTATGACAACATACCGAAACAAATGTCCTTAAGTTTCAAAGCAAACAAAACGTCAATACGTATGAATTAGTACATTGACCTTGCATATTTACATGTGGGGGCATCTGTTTCCCATGGACACATTCTTCGTTTATTTATTCAAATGATTTATGTTTTATTAAACTTTGGTCTCCTGCTGACTAAAACAACCCGTAAAGCACTTGACTCACTCCCAAATAAAACTGACAGGAAAAAAAACCTTGTCCCGTATAGTATAAATTATTTCTCCAAATGATCGATGTCTCGATTGTAGTCTTTTATTTTGTTGACAAAATGCATCTGTGAAATGGTACACTTCTTCATTACAGAACTCCACATTGTATGACATCATGTGTGATAGATACAGAACTCCAAATTGTATGACATCATGTGTGATAGATACAGAACTCCACATTGTATGACATCATGTGTGATAGATACAGAACTCCACATTGTATGATATCATGTGTGATAGATACAGAACTCCACATTGTGTGACATCATGTGTGATAGATACAGAACTCCACATTGTATGACATCATGTGTGATAGATATAGAACTCCACATTGTATGACATCATGTGTGATAGAGTATTGTACATATACTAATAATAATAGTGACGTAGCCAGGCATATAACTGTTATTCATATTGATCGTTACTGGGAGGTCTTTAAAAAAAGTAAACCCTATTTAAAGCTTATCTATCTGCTTTTAATAAGATCAGGACGATCCCTAGCGCCAACTTGAACCGGATACTTTCATATTTATACCGCGTATCGCTATTCCCTTTTGAAGGAAATGCGAGAATAATGAATAAATGCTACTCAATTGGCGATTTTTCACAAATTTTATCATTCGTAACTCTCCAAAGGACTTTATAATAATACAAACTACTAAAAACAGAGAATTTCAGCGTCAGGCCTAGGGTATCATCGTTTTTCTTGATTTGTAGGAAAAAATACCCTTAAAAAAGGACATTGGTTATGTATAACACACCCTAGCTATTACTGGCTATCGGCACAGAAGCTACAATAGTATCTGTTTTCCCAGTTATTTTAAAAAACATTTTAATGTTTGGCTATTGTGTACAGCAGAGTTTTGTCTGCGTTTCCGATTGTCATGCAATACAAAGGATTTTTCAATCGTGTACAGCAGATTGATTGTGATCTGTGTTACCTATTGCATCTGCCGTACCGACAGCCGACAATAGGGTGTGGTATAAGAAATTTATTTCTGGAACAGACTGAACTTGTACTTTTTGTACTTGCTTCTCTATGCACTATTTAGTCAACTAGTACATATAAAAAAAAAGGAAAATGGCTGGACTGCATTGATAGATTTTTTAAACAGCATCTATGTCTAAATGAAGTAGTGCAATAACGAGGAAAGCACTCCCTTGCTGGTGACAAGCCCATGGAACAAGCAAGGAGCAAACGTATCAAGCATAAAGATGTTATATCCATACAAGATATATCAGAGAGAAAACTCAGCGGGTTTTCCGCTCATAAATAAGAAAATGGATATCGGGGAAAAGTCACATAAAATACGATGGAAATACACCGATATCTTAATCGAATATCACTTTTATTTATGGTCTTCATTTTGATAAATGCTGAGTACTTTTAAAAGATCACAGCAAGATCAATTCGACCTCTAAAATTTCCACTATTCCAAGCTAATTATGAGCTACTGCTAACATACATGAAGTTTTAATGAAATATCAAGATGTGTTTATCCACTGATATAGATCGTTTTCGTAATTACTAAATGAGAATGCCTAAGGAAAGGGGTAGTCATACATTTGATAATTCCCGTATAGCATGATAAAGAATGTAAAAATGTGTGCAAAGGAAACGCGCATTTGATTTTTCCACGTGTTAAGTAAATAGTTGGTAACCAAATTTAATGATTCTGCTGTACAATACTGAAGGCATGCGGGTGCATATCATCATTAACATCTATAGTATATGAAATGCCACTACGCTAAAAATATAATTGTTTAATAACTCCTCCCTACTCTGGCCTTCAAGTCAGTTTGAAATCAAAGCATTCTCATGGCGATATATTTTTCTGCCGTATATTCATCAATCTAAATAAGATATCTCGAGCAGATAAAGACAGATCAATGATAAGCCACACAGGCATATATCAGACGTATGGCATTATGGTGAAAGTTTCATACACTACAGTTAAATATTACTTATTGATACATACTGAATTCATTTTCTCAACGAGAGGTGTGGTGCATCATTCTATTACGTCATCAGATTCGGCTGCTGTGTGATTCAAGATAGTTTGCGCATGTTTTTTGAGGATTGCTAAAGTGTAAAATCACGAACTGACCATAACATGTATATCGCTTGTTTCTAAAAAATTGTTTTCAGACGTAGAAAAACATACACAGACATTGATGGCGGTTAACATCCATCATGGAATTTCTGGAGATCAAGTGAGTTTATGTGTTTTCTAATTATTTTAACATGTTATATTTCTTATAGCTTTACACTTTGCGATACACTTTTGACAAATATGAAGTAATAGTTCTCAAGACAACATAACTCAACAAGTTTATTTTATTTCAATCATTACAAAATAATTGGCCTCGTGTAAGTGATATTCTTTTTGATTATTCTTAATTGTGTAATAACATAAGTAAAACTCGTTTAAATTCATAAAAGTGCAATGTCAAGTCAGAGGACTCATCCTTGATTGGCCAAGGTCTCGAAAACAGCATTTTGACGAGGTATAGTTTTGTATTCAACACACATGTAATCACACATGCAACCACATGCCTTTTAATTACACTTTGAAAATGATAATTAAGAAACCTGAAATCTCTATATAACAATCAGTTGACAACTTGCCAAAACATTATCGTTCGACTTTGATTGACTCTTTCAACCTTAGCTTTGAGTACATCCATTGTCAATCTTCAAATATATATATATGATGGATTTGACCATTTGGAAATACGTCGAACATACACGTTCAACCCTATCGTCAAACAGAAGAGAAAACGATAAAGTTGAGAATGGTGTGAAAAGGGGGGGGGGGGGGGGGGGGGGGGGGGGGTAAAGATTGTCTTCTCTTCAAAATAAAATATGTTCGTGTATACTGAAGAAATAAGAGTCAGCTTTTCGCAAACAATTTCGGTGTCGGAATGGGTGTGTCCGTTGATTTTATTTGATTATTGACTCATGAGCATCTACCCGATAGCTTATTTCTTGAACGTATTTACATCTCCATTTTTCCTCACAAAAAAAATATATATAAGTAAACTAAAACCCCGGTTTTTAGTACAAAAGTAGCACACATAAATAATACATTATGATTTCCTACGTATGAAACTTGTCACGTAAATGAAGATGTTGAAAATTTAGCTTCAAAACTAAGGTCCTTATTCACAAGATTTATTTAACTTAAAATTACAAGAAGACTCGTCCAAGTTTGGTTGGTTTTAGGGAAGTCCTGTGCAAATGTCAAGTGATGGCTACGTGATTACCTGTTATGACACGGAGTAATATTTTTTACAAGCTATATATGCTTTGCAGTTATTTGTTGTTTTTTTTTCTTCTATGCTTTCGAATTGCATGTTTGAATAAAAATAACTATGTTAATATAACAATTAACAAAGTTAAGCAAATTAAAAAAAATAAGAAGTTGGGCATCCCATTTATACCCACTTTGAACCTCTGTCAAAATCTGACATTAAAACTGCAGATGTTTTCCCAGTAGGACATTGTATACAGTGGTCAAGAGAGTTCATGATGGAAGGTTACGATAACAGGGCAAATCCGACTTTTGTTTTTATTTCTATGGCATCTGGTTTCTATAGAAACTGGTGATCAGGTACATTATGAAAATTCTAATGACTTAACTCGCTTATGTTTTTCTGTATACTAGAAATTCGAATAAAACTATGCTTTAATCTATGCTAGACTATAAGCAGTGATTTTACTATTAATCTCAAATTGAGTTGAGTCCTCATAAATGAAATAATATTCATCAAATATTTGGTCTCGAAATCAAATAATCACACCAAATATATCTAATTGTTACCTTGTGACTAAGCACGTTAAAAATCCGACTCAGCATGTCGATCGGTCTATACAATGCAGGGTTGATATTCATATCACATTATAATGTTATCGTCAGAAATTGCGTTTAATATTTGTCGCTGGACGTTGAACATCTATTATTCATGAAATTGTCATCAAAGAAGGGTCCGTTAGTCACATAAAAAAACTACATGATAAATCTCGTTGAAATCTGATGTCAAACAATTTTAGTCAATGAAGTAATAAAAGTAGGTCACACCGATCAAGTTTTGGCATGTGGTTTTAAGACTTCTAAGCGCAGCTGTACGTTAATTGTAGTTCGTTTGATATCTGCGTATGACAATGTTGGACACTGTACATGCTCAATTCAAATCAGTGAGCCAGGAAATATCTGCTATGAGACTTTTAACTGTAAGCAAATTTTCAGACTCTGATGAGCCTGCATACAAAATACATGTGTCTATATGTCATTTGATTTCCGTACAGTGCATGGTTGTACACGATGGGGGTACTCTATTAGCCCCTGTCACCAAACGTTGTTAGTCCCAAGGGTATCATCAGCTCGGAGTTCAGTTTGTCAGTGCCTCGATACTGGGTTGATTTACTATATGTCATTCTTAAATTCTCCGTTCATAAATTTGGAAATTATTAAGAATGTAAGGTTCCATTTCCCTCAGAACAAGTTGACCTTAGATGAACTATTCGTTTCATGTCCCTTTGCAATATAGATTCTCACGTATTCAGGTATGCATACAACCATGGCTTTCAAATTCTCGGTATGAACGTTCTTAGTGAAGGTAAATCAAGATAAGCGCTTCGGACGAACAACATGTACAAAGTGTTATTTTCATTTCAAAGTATTAAACTAAAGAGGAAAGAGTAAAATGCAGTCTATTTTCAATAACCCATGAACTCGCAGAGACCATATATATTAGACACTTAGTATATCGGCCACTGGACATTAAGTAAACGATATTCAATCAATCACACACACACAAACACACACACACACCACCACCATTGGACATTAAGTAAACGATATTCAATCAATCACACACCACCACCACCACCATTGGACATTAAGTAAACGATATTCAATCAATCACACACACACAAACACACACACACCACCACCACCACCATTGAAAATTAAGTAAACGATATTCAATCAATCACACACACACAAACACACACACACACCACCACCACCACCATTGAAAATTAAGTAAACGATATTCAATCAATCACACACACACAAACACACACACACCACCACCACCATTAGACATTAAGTAAACGATATTCAATCAATTACACACACCACCACCACCATTGGAAATTAAGTAAACGATATTCAATCAATCACACACACACAAACACACACACACCACCACCACCACCATTGGACATTAAGTGAACGATATTCAATCAATCACACACACACAAGCACACACACACACCACCAACATTGGACATTAAGTAAACGATATTCAATCAATCACACACACACCACAACCACCACCACCACCACCTCCACCATTGGACATTAAGTAAACGATATTCATTCAATCACATAGTTTTGATTTTACGCAATAAGGATTTGGTGACTCGTATAAATATAGTAAAATACGATGTGAATATCAAAAACATCCTCAGGCATTTATCTGCAACTTCATGCGTCTAAACATTTTAAGCGAATGAGATGTATATTGGTGCGAAACCAAAGTGATAAAATTAACAAGCTGTCTTTTGAGTAAGGTTTTTTTCACCATGTACTTCAATTATTCTAATCATTTATTACATAATATACAAATTACACATTCACACAAAAGTTATAAGAAGAATCATCTTATACTTCAAAGTTTAATATTTGGCACGGATTACGTATTTATATTAATTTTGAGTTGTACAAATGACTTATGTTAAGTATCATGACGTGCACATTTCCTTGCAGTCTGTACGAGTTAATGAATGTAATGCTTATGTACTGAATGGAGCGTTTGGTGATATTAATTTACGAATTGAAATCGAATGCCATTAGGAATGAAGATTGTTCTTCGTTTTCTTGAACCCATAATATCATTTTAATTCGTGGAATATGATAACATGGGCAATATTTTACTAAACTGAAAGTAGTGCACGTGGGAACAGACACTGTAAATATCCTTCATACATGAAAAATTAACTGCTGTAACTCGATGAACAACATTAAAACTTCTTTAATGTGCAATATTAGTGCAGTGCATTGTACGTAGACATGTAAACCGGAGCATCCACATCTTTTCAGTGTAATTTTTTTTTTGTAATTGAGAACACTTACTTTATTCTGTTACGCCACTGATTACATGCATGACAAATCAATAGTACAAATTGTATCCATAATAAGATTCTCTATTTAAACTTGTCTAGACTCTGGGAAATTTACATTTTGTACGGCTTGACGTATTGTATAGGCTCCTTTCTATTGTTAAAGGTCGTATGTTGACCTCTATACGCCTTTCTATTTTTATATCTTTGGATTGCTGTCTCTTTAAGATATACCACACACCTCCTTTATACTATTTTCGTACATTCAAAGAAAAAAAACCCAGAAAAGTTTACTTGGTAAGCATTTGTTCTTGAAATTACAAACCGTTCTAATAAAAACGTACTAGGAAGAAATTAAATGAACTAGAAAGACAGATGTACCAGCCAGAATATAATACGAGACCCCAAGATGTCAAGCAACCGTTCTTTTCAACTCGTTCATTCTAAAAGGGGTACTTATTGCACCAACTATACGAATCGGATAAATCAGACAAACACATAATTATTGAATGTCCATTTTGTTATTGCAGATATAGAAAATGTTAGCTTGTTGTGAAAAGGGACTATTTGTAACTTAAGTACATGGACATATAAGTTAGAGATTGTTGAATTGTTTGTACGTTGGTCTCACAGTTGTTCTGAAAATGGAAGAGTTAGGCAAATAATACATCGATAGTATTTTACATAGAATGAGTATTAAAACTTGGCATGAAACATACAAATTGTAAATACTTTATCAATCAACGTATGAACTAATAATATATATATAAATGTTTTGTTTTACAGAAGAAGACAATACTACATTCGAATTTAACGGAAGAAGGAAAACCAAGGTGTTTAAAGTGCGATGACAAATGTCCCGGCCTAGAACAACATTATTGGAGGTAAGACCTGAACTCTATAGCTCGAACTCGAAACTGAACTTAAACTATAACTCAAACTTTAACTCGAACGCGAACTTTTAATTGAACTTCAACCCTAACTTGAACCATTAATAGAACTCCGCCATACTTTCTATACTGATAAATATATATCACAGAACTACTGCATGTGTTTGTGGAAATTCTTTTATCAGGTTCGCCCGTTCTCAAACGTTTGAGAAGCAAAATACATAAGACATTCTAAGCTTCAAAACAGAGCAGCCTTAACAATTGAACGTCATCTTTTCCTGAGCAATTAAAGGTATAAGCTATGATGACGAAAGATCATGTATAGAGTAACACTATTGGAAATATACTATGATTGCAAATATCTATAAAATAAGACTCTACTGGAGGTAGAATGTGATGATGATAAAAAGAGTAAGTTAAGCACATATCCAGGGCTCAACAACTTCATTATAATGTTAATTTAAGTAATGTGATATCACAAACACATGTCCAGGGTAGAAATGCACTGTTAGTTGTAAGATGTGACAACAAATATCCAAGGTACCGTATAATAGCACTGTAACAAATATCTATCCAGGGTATCGTATAATAGCACTGTAACAAATATCTAACCAGGGTATCGTATAATAGCACTGTAACAAATATCTATCCAGGGTATCGTATAATAGCACTGTAACAAATGTTCATTGAGAGATCAATATTTTTGAAGGGAAGTTGCGAAGGCTGATGTTCACGGCTAGAACACTATTGAGTTGTGATACTCTTTAAGTTGATCATGATTAGAAAAAAGGAACACACGGAATTTCGTGAATGGAAGAGTAATAAAAAATGTAAACCAAGCGAAAATAATTCACGGAATCCAATGTTTAGGTAGTACAAGTACCAATGTAAAAAGAGTTTAGAATCAGTTGCTAATAAGAAAGTTGAATACAACATATGGCATATCGTAAAAGCATTGGCTTGTCGAACCTTAGGACTGGTGTCACAAATGTTCATTAACTTGAAGTCCCCATAATACGGGAATGGACTTGTTTGTTATTATTGGAGTACACTTTGTCAAGTTTACAATTTAAAAAAAACTTTTCTTTTCAGAAAAGTGTGTCGAAATTGTCGATGTTCAGTTGACGATCATGCAATTCAACCATCAACAGAGTCAAACGGGCGAGAGCCTATCAATTTGCTGCTGGATTCTATTCCACGACAAGGAACCCAACGTGATCTTTTGGAACGCCTAGAAAGGTTAAACGTTGATGATTATGACACTTTGTCACACATTACAGACCCAGAACACGACATTGTGCTGTCAAGAATTATTTCAGAAAATATGGTATAAAATTTATTACGATTTTAAAATCAATTCATTATTATTTATTGTATATTGTTTACTAGTACTTTCTGTCATTTCTGATGTTTTCCCAATCTTAAGTGTGAAATAAAATCGGATGAATGAAAAGAACATTAAGGATTGAAATATTGAATTGTAGTTTCACAGGCAATAGACGTTCTATCAATATTAATAAAATAGGAGCAACGGGAAGAAAATAGTGTCAACAATATATAAAAATATATACATACTATTGATATAAAAATAAGGTCTTCCCATTGCTCCCATATAGAACGTCTAGTTCCTGTGTGGTATCTAAACTTGAGTGTGACCTGTGGATCTTTTTGCCGAACTAATGTGTCTTTTTTATAATAATAAGAGGTAAAATTGGGGGGAAAACTGTTGATCAGTAAAAAGCAAAATTCATTTCAATTTTTTTTCCAGAAATCTCAAAAATTCATCGCAATGCTTCCAAAAGACAAACAAATGTTTGCTGCTCAGTTAAGGAGGAGACAACTCCAGCGACAGTTACCACTGCACGATCTTCATCAAAAGTTTTGTGCTAGTTTAACGGAAACAGAACTGCATAAATTCCATAAATTTATTTCAAAAAGAAAGCATAAAAGTGCTGGTATTGGACGGATCGGAGATGTGCCGAAGGATTCACAGTTTGTAAGTGTGATCGAAGAAAGTTAATATGTTATTAGTATTCATTAACAGTTCCAGTTCCATTTTTGTTTAATCTTCCATGTTATTGCATTTCCGATTGCTACAAACGGAACTATTTTCGTTTCTGCTGCCTGTTGAGTTTTATTTGTGATTCGGTTATATATGACTATCCGTTTTCATCAAAGCTATGTTTAAGCTTATACATTTTTCGAGAAAAAAAATACACATTGAGATTTAAAAAAAACCAACACACTATAATGTTTTATTCGCATTATGGCATCATAAACATCGGTGTGACATCACACAATTTATTTCTCGTTCATATCGCGAAATTTTTTTTAATGTTTGCTTTGATCTCGTGTAGTCGTTACTCCTCCAAAACATCAATGTAAACGACCTCTCAAAATTTTTTATTTCTTTTTATACGATTGCATTACCACGCAAATAAATAAAACATCTGTTACAGGCAAAGAACTATTTCATTGTTATCTAATTCAAAAATCAGTTCTATCAGCTGTTAGATGTTTGTTTCAAGACAACAAATATACTCTGACTTACCCGGAACTGATTTTCTTTTGTTTTGATCATTATTAAAGCATATCTGTTTATAAATATCCACATGGTTATTATGATACGTGTAGTATTTTTCGATAAGCAACCAGCAAATCTTTTCACATAGCACTTGTAAGATATGAAGGATCAGCGTATGATTCTCTTGCACCTCTCTTTGCTGTTAACAACATACTTTTATAATTTAAAAACAACACAATCTGGAATATTGCATGGTAAAGTCTATACAAAATTTAAAAAAGAAGAGGAAGAGGTTGAAAGCTGATTTTGTACAAATATTTGATTTTCATGTAGTTGGCATGATTAATTGCTTATATATTTATATTATCGATAACATGTTGTAAATATACAATGAGAAAGACTTTGAAACACAAATAGATCCTTTCTAAATTTAAAACTTCTATATAAATAAAAGGCGTTATAGGTATATGTCAATAAGACGAACATTTCATTCATGGCCAGTATGTTTAAGAATATACAAGTATTCGGTAAACAGGTAGTGGATGAGCAATGAATTTGAAAATGAATCATACAGCATAGCATGCAAACATAAAGCAAGATACCAAATTTCAGGAAGCTCTGATATGTAGCTCCTGAGAAAAGTTCGATCAACACATTATGGGACGGACGGACAGACGCAAAGCAGTATCACGCTCCTTTCGGAGCGGGGGTATAATTAGTGGGTTAAGTTATAATGCAAACAGATTCTTAATGAACCAACCTCAATATAATTTTCTGCTAAACTTTTTTATTTAATTGGAAGTTCAATACTTTTCCGTATCTTACGAAATAGCTACTGCTAGTTGAAACATGTAGAGAGTTATAAAATGTACATTGTCTTAGTCATGTAGACCCGGTTGTCATCCCCAGGGTCACACAATCAGCATAAGGCGCTAGCGTGCCAGGTAAGAACGCACCCTGTTTGATATCACATATCGGCCCGACCGCTTGACGTCAGACCAGAATGAAACAGGACTATCAGCCTGGGTACGTTCGAACATTACTTGGAAACGTTTGTTTTATCCTGATAAATGCCATTCATATTTGATTATATTGCATATGCAGAAATGGACATATATTTGCCTTGTATATGATAAATATTAAGTAACGTATATTTATAGACGTGTCATAGATGTTCAAAAGTCATGGAACCAAGGGGAATCACTGTGATAGCAGACCGACTTGGCAGGACTACAGCTTGGCATCCGGGATGTTTTACGTGTACAACTTGTAAAGAACTTTTAGTGGATATGATATACTTTTACAGAAATGACGATATATATTGTGAAAGACATTATGCAGATTCCATTTATCCTAGATGTGCAGCTTGTGACGAGGTAAACGGCCACTCCTAGTTTATTCATATATTCTCTTGAAATATTGATTGATCATTATGTTTTAATATTTATACTTTTACCCTAAAAAATAAATCTAATTGAAAAAAAATGAAAACCACGAAACAGACCTATTGACAACCTGGAGTGTGTTGAACATTATAATGCATAAAACGGCATTTATGTGGCATCAAATTGCTTTATCAGTATTTGATTACTTCGTTTTCGGCGTCCTTTAACGCCCGGTTGTCACTGTCAAAGTTAACCTGGTAAAAGTTTTACATCAAAAACTTGGTAAAAGAAAACTTTGACCAGGTAAACTTGGTCCAAGTCGTCGGTTGTCACTATCCAAGTTATTCCTCTAAACATTGGTCAAAGACAAAACTGCACTGTGATCGGACGATTCCCATCCAGGTCCATCCAAGTTTCAAAAAAAAATAGGATGAGATTCTATTACATCGTAGTCCGTCAAATTTTTTTTATCAAAGTTTTCTTTGACGGTTGTCTCTATTAGAATAGCCATCAAAACTTTAACCAAGAAAACTGTATAAGAAAACTCGGATAGTGACAACGGGGCTTTAAAATTTGACCGAAAACTCTAATGTTGTCTTTAAAATGTATTTTATTGAAGAAAAAAGAACGAGTAAAGGTAAACTGAAAACTTGAATGAAAAGTGCAGCAGATGACGGTATGACTAAAGTTTCTTTGAAGTGAACAGAATGTTCTTCTCTCTCAATTCCTCGGAACGCCACGGTAATTAAAAGAATCTCTAGAGCCAATATGCCGACCCAGGGAGCACAATTGCATTTAGACATTATATGGAATTTTCATTAGAGAAACAGATTTGTTGATACAACCTTGCCAAAAATTGTGAATTTTCTACAATATCGATTATTAATGTACTTGTTTTTGTCATCTTGGCTTTCTAATGGCTATGATGTGATTCTGTTGTTTATTTCTGTTACATAAATATTTGAGAAATGAGGTAATTTTATTGACAGTTGGTGTTGAAATATTGGCCTGGATAAATGCCAGTTATTAATGAAATGTTTGAGAAATCTGCTCCGTATGACATAATTAACTCAAAATGTATTATTCAAATGAAGTGCAGTTAATATTACAATAAATTAAACTGTGCTGAGGAATTTATTTGTGTATCTACCTTTTCCCACATTTTTGTTATGGGAATTTTCTTTGTAAATTGAAACACTCGACATAATATATAAAACCAGTCAAACTTGAACGAGCTTGGTATACGGTATAGGATATCTGAAGGTATCAGTAAAAATAAATTCTACTCGACTTTTTGAAAACTATATATAGAGCCGCAAAGGTCTATAGATTAAAACATGAAATTGAAATTAAAATAAATACTGAACTTTTTTTTCTTAGTAATTAACTCTTAGTAATTAACTTATTATGTGTGGACACAGTTTAACATTTCATTGTTTTTACAGTGTATACTCCTCACCCATTTTACAATTATCATTCGGTTGTAATGTTAGAATATTCCATGGTTATACTACATCTCCAAATTTCATCGAAATTCGAAGTCGTTTCCCAGTTTATTTTGGAACGTTTTCATGTACTTTTCATGACCCATTGAAGACCTTTCATTGTTCCATCCCTCTTCATTCTCGAACATTCGTTAAAATACCCCCCATTAAACACATAACAAGTCAGTACGACTTAAATATTTCAGCTGCCAACACAAAAAAAATGTACATGTTGCGGAAGGTCACGAGAAACTTGTTCATTTTCATACTAGATCAGGAAAGATATGACTAATGCCAATAAGTTTAGATCCACATAACAATCATGCAATTTTCGAACGGTAAAATACACATGTATAAAGCCTACAAATATAAAAACAAATATTTAAAGGGGCATTAGCTACGAGATATAAAAACATTAATATAGGATTTTTTTGGTTCAATCATTAATGAAAGTGAAATAGTGAAATAATAATTCGCTTGTAGCAGCCAAATTGTTTCAATTTTGTCAAAATAAGCTAAGAAACATCGCTGATAAATTATTCACTTGCAAGTGAATAATTCGACCTCATTGAATCCGTATTCATGTGAACTTCAATTTGACCCCTTAGCTGGACATGGGTTACGCATGTAGTCGGCTATTAAAAGGAAAAGAATGCCAGCATTGAAAGTGAAACAAGGATGAATTATTTGGTTGACTGATTCGATCCACCAAAAATTATTCTAATACAGGTAAAAACGATGATAAACATATTTTTTAACCTACAATATGGAATCAAACTGACCTAGAAAAATCCAATTGCACGTGGTCGCTATCCATTTATATTTATATTTGTTTATATCGGGTTATTGAAAATCGGCAGTCTTCGGAGGTCAACTCGATGGCGTCTAGACAAAAATACACACAAAATGTTGATACAATTCATCGAGTCCATGCCTTGTTAATTGTTTGTTTTAGACTTTTGTAATTTCTGATATATGTTTTAGTATGTTATAAATCAAATATGAGAATTTGAGTCAAATCGTTGAACATGAATTTGACAGCTAATGACCCTTTAACTTAGAACAATTACAAAGGGATGATCACCAGATCATTGAATTATCTCCTTTTACTCCGCATTTCATATGAACACAGGTTAAAGTATAAATTATTACATTGCATTCTTAAAAAATATCAAAAACATATTTGTAGGCTTTACACCCATGAACCACCTATTGCGTGATCTATAAATGGAGCGGTACTTCCATTCATTTCATTCCTGGTGAATTAAGTAGATGAATCATATTTTACTATATAAAGGACTACATTTTGCATATAAACATTTTTGAAGTGAAGAGAATTGAGCAATGTTTTTATATACAGGTCATATTTGCAAGGGAATATACACAAGCAGAAAAGCAGGCATGGCATGTACAACATTTTTGTTGTTGGTTTTGTGACGCACCACTTGCAGGACAACGTTACATTGCCAACAATGGAAATCCTTATTGTGTCTTTTGTTTTGACAGACTATACAGCAAGGTAAGAAACTGATGAATTTCTGTGAATTGTCTTATTGTTCATGCAAACACATTATGACATTCTGTATCATTGAAGGGTCCGGAGAGATCGGAGAGGGGTCTGGGGTTGGAAATCCTTTTGATTCTTTTAGTTCACTTAAAAATCTACGAAAAATAAACTGGTTCCACCTTTCATGGCAGAATTAAGGCGACAGTAGTTTATCGATGTTCAAAAATCTCGTAAATCGATTAGGAAGAGACAAATCAAGATAAAAAACACAAACGGAGGGAATAGCATGAACTCCAACAGGAGCAAGACCGGGTGCATCGACAAGTAAGCGTCTCCTGCTATGCTTGCATCACCTGCATGCGAATTCACATTCAGTTAAAATGTCACAATCGAGAATAGGACACTACAGATCAGACAACTATGTTGGTATCTTAAGAATTAAGAACCCACCAGATGACTTCTTTAAAAAAAACGGGGATCAACGCATGTGTGTCGAACAAAACAATATAGGTCTATGTATATAAGTGGAGGGATGCATGAAACAAAATATTTCTTACGAAATATGCGCAATTAAAAAAACAACGGCGTCATAAAAAATATCTTGAGAATCTCGTTAATAATATGATAGAAATAAAAATTGTATGTAAATATTTGTGCTTGAAATAGCTATTAAACGTTTATATTATCGACAAATTCTAGATACTAATATCATGTTTGTGAAGTGAATGCAAGTCTTAGTATCTTACAGAACACTATATTATGCCTTTATATAGACATTGTACATTATTGCTAATTATATTAAGGAGAGGACTATCTTACTTGTGTCTGATCCCAATTTGTTATACGAACTATAGTATGCATTAAATTAATATTTTCAGATTTGCCATACATGTGGAAAGACAATTACTGCTGATTCCCCTGGTTTGTCACATGGAGAATTTAACTGGCATGCCTGTCCACATTGCTTTAGCTGTAATGGGTGTGGCAAGAATCTTATAAACAAACAATTTTTGCTTAAAGATGGATTTTTATTTTGTGGTCAAGATTGTAAACAAAAAAATCCACCTAAACACAATGACCATGTGTCGGCAACTCATTTCCATGCATAAAAACCCTTTTCATTTATGTCGGCGATGCAAAAGCTTGAAATTTCTAAACAGAGAAAATCTTGCAGTGATATCACTTTTTGTGTTACTTCAAACCCATCTGTGGATACCTCTTTTTCTGTGTGTTTTAGACGTGAAAAACAGTGTTTTTAAAATGTTTTATTGCGAACCCAATGAAAGTTTTCCACAGTGCCATCTCTATCTTGACCAGGTATTTAAACTTTTGCAAGTTCACCTGTCCTATTGAATGAATACAATAGCTATTTTTCTCTGTGTAGTTTATTCACTGGGACCTTTAAATTTCTTCTAAGAGAAATCTATCACTCATTGATTAATTTACCTGAGTAAAAATATTTTCTCATATATAGACAAAAATACTTTTTTATACTCATTAACTACGTGTGATGATGTATTTATTCAATATTAATAATATATTTTCATTCAGTTTAATATAAACATTGATTCAATCATAAAAAGTTGATTTCAAACAAAAGTTTTATCAATGTTCCTATTGAAATTTGATTTTTTTTTTGTCTAGTTATAGAATACATTTAAGAAGATCTTAATTTGAAACATCATTATTTTCAAGTTCTTATTCATGTCAAACAAATTTTTTTTTAAAAGGAACAATGTTGAAAGTTTTGTCAGAAATCAATTTTTTATGATTGAATCAATGTTTATATTAAACTGAATGAAAATATATTATTAATATTGAATAACTACATCATCACACGCAGTTAATGAGTATAAAAACAGTATTTTTGTCTATATATAAGAAATTTTTTTTACTCAGGTAATTTAATCAATGAATGATAGATTTCTCTTAGAAGAAATTTAAAGGTCCCAGAGAATAAACTACACAGAGAACAATAGCTATTGTATCTATTCAATAGGACAGGTGAACTTGCAAAAGATTAAATACCTGGTCAAGATAGAGATGGCACTGTGGAAAACTTTCATTGGGTTCGCAATAATATTATTGCGAACTCAATGAAAGTTTTCCACAGTGCCATCTCTATCTTGACCAGGTATTTAAACTTTTGCAAGTTCACCTGTCCTATTGAAAAAATACAATAGCTATTGTTCTCTGTGTAGTTTATTCTCTGGGACCTTTAAATTTCTTCTAAGAAAAATCTATCATTCATTGATTAAATTACCTGAGTAAAAAAAAAATTTCTTATATATAGACAAAAATACTTTTTTTATACTCATTAATTGCGTGTGATGATGTATTTATTCAATATTAATAATATATTTTCATTCAGTTTAATATAAACATTGATTCAATCATAAAAAGTTGATTTCTGACAAAACTTTCAACATTGTTCCTTTTAAAAAAAAATTTATTTGACATGAATAAATACTTGAAAATTATGATGTTCAAATTAAGATCTTCTTAAATGTATTCTATATAACTAGACAAAAAAAATCAAATTTCAATAGGAACATTGATAAAACTTTTGTTTGAAATCAACTTTTTATGATTGAATCAATGTTTATATTAAACTGAATGAAAATATATTATTAATATTGAATAACTACATCATCACACGCAGTTAATGAGTATAAAAACAGTATTTTTGTCTATATATAAGAATTTTTTTTTACTCAGGTAAATTAATCAATGAGTGATAGATTCTCTTAGAAGAAATTTAAAGGGTCCAGTGAATAAACTACACAGAGAAAAATAGCTATTGCATTCATTCAATAGGACAGGTGAACTTGCAAAAGTTTAAATACCTGGTCAAGATAGAGATGGCACTATGGAAATTTTTCATTTGGGTTCGCAATAACACTATCTTCAAATTCTTTACATTATGGCGCTGCTACGATATCTCCCAACATATACTATACATTTCTTGTATTGGTTCCCGATATCAGTGTTTATTAGATTGACTTTCTATGTAAAATCGAACATTTAATTGATTTGTTTATTTTTTTTCTCATTTATTTAAGTTACTTGTTTGTACAATGACAAAACTGAGAACATATTATCATTTAATTGGAAACATATTTGGTTAAAACATTACATTTTTTTCATAAAATATATATTAAAAAATAAACTACAATTACTGACTTATTCATGAAATCAAGGATTTGTATAGTGAGATATACTATACAAATCCTTGATGAAACCAAGAATCTGTAGTGAATCTGCAGTTAAGCAAGGGTGTGATATCTTGTGCACAACGTGTTCAATTTTTAAGGGATATTTCAACTGGATCAATAAAACTATGAACTGTTACGTGAAAAAGCCAAATTTAAAAACATTTAATCAAATAAATACGTAAAGTTATACTAGAACTAATTCCCTTTATACGTAATTTGAAATTTTCGTCAATTTAACAGTTTCCGAATTTATGAAGAAAATATGTACAGTCATGCACAGGATAAGTTGACCGCGCGCTTGCTCACAATTAAAACGTTTAATATATCTACTAACGATTGCATATATTCATGAAGAAGAGAAAATCTTATAACAGGTGGAGAAAGCGTTGTCTGTTTATAGTATAAAAAATACAAAACACAACAGCGAACTGAATGTGGGCGTCTTGCATACAAATTCATAAGCCTGGTATCTATGGTGATTTTTTAAACAGAAAATAAGACGAGTCAGAAGGCAATACTTTCAAGGCTAACACTGTAAAATAAAACAATTCAAAATCAACGTTTTTTGCAACAAGAAACTAATAAGAAATTGAACTACAAATTTAAACAGTTAGAAAACTATCAAAATATAACATTTGATGGTATTGAAAGGCAAAAAGAAATCACGAAAATACTACACACTCTCAGAAATCGCAGAATCGCTATTAAATAACGTTGACAATACTTTATTTGCGTGTATCAACACTGTATCAGACTTCCTACATATTGAGAGAGTTGCATGTGAAATGTATGTTTAGGTAATAGCAGTTTACCTATGTTCACATCTCATGAATCGATTAGAAAAAGTAAAATTACAAAAATACCGAACACCGAGGAAAATTCTGAACGGAACGTCCTAAGTACATGGCAAATTCAAAAGCTCAAACACATTAAACGAATGGATACTAACTGTCATATTCCTGACCTGAAAATACTAATCAAGGTACCAAGCAAAAACCGAGGGAATCGCATAAACTCCAAAAGGGAGCGAGACCGGCCCCAACAAGTCATAAAAAGGACGTCCGACGTCAGAGCATTATCGGAGGACTACTGCTATGCATGCATCAACCGCCATGCGAATCCCCACTCAGTCAAAATGTAGTGATCGGGAATAGGGAATCGGAAAAATTACATATCAGATGACTATTCTGGTATATAAATATCTAAGACCACGAAAACATGTTGCTGGTGGGTTGAGACACAGACACATCGTATTGGTCAACCATTTCGTGATGGTTACCGATAAATTTATATATAGTATCGATTTCAATTGTTCTTCCTCAAAACTCTGTTGGTTTTTGTTTAAGGAGCACGCCCCTGTTTATCAAGTCCGTGTAGTTTGAGCATGAACGAGCGTAACGTATTATTTGGGAAATGTAAACACCATACGACGAGGAAGATGGTATGTTACTGCTGAGAAATGAAAAGTTGACAATTTGAAAGTAGAAAGCATCACGTTTGTCATAGATTCTAGTTTAAAGTCGTCAGTCTGTGTTTTAAATCTTATATCAAAAGATACATGTATATTTAATTTAGCATACACTACAATTATAACTAACAATTATGAACTTTAATATACAATACATTTAGTAAAATCTCAACCCATAAAAGCATATTTTGTAATAAGTGAAAAATGCAAATGCCGAGTCATCAATAATTAAAATCTAAAATTTTGAAAAGTAAAATAATTTAGAGTTATCTCCCCTTCACTATTAATTTGCTAATAATAGTGTAACATCTGAACTTTCGGGAACAGATACCACCATCACATATATCAAGCTCTGTTAGAGCTGATAACGCTGCCCCAAAGGGAACGAAAATTTCAAGATATATGACAGACCGTCTGGTTTCGGTAGTATCCTTTATCTCAAGCTCATTGGTATATGAGATGCAAACATTCACTAAAATGTTGGTAATTGATTGACATCATCAATTTATCTGAACGTGAAACTAAAGAACTTTGCAAAATGCTTTTTCTTTCAAGTCTTTGGGAGGGTTCTGTATGAATTCTGCTTCAAATGAGTACAAAACCAAGTCGGCAAAGGATGAGGGTTGAGTGCTAAAAAAATTGTAGTATAACTCTGTCTCATGTTCATACAAAACTGTCTCAATTCATGAACCTTTTCTGTATTTGTCTTCAGTTATATCTTTATGTTTTTTGTCAGGAAGGGACTTTAGTAAATTATACAGATACTCAATAGTCCCTATGTCATTCATCGCGTTGCTGTCTCATTGACGTATACAACGACAAGAAACTCGTAGTAACCACAGTCTTTGAAATGTATCTATAAGCGATATCGTCTGCGTATAAGCATGTCATGAAAATCACAGTGGTCTTTTATCAAGTTTGTAATAATTGAATAAGAAAGTATTTTTCGATTTAGTATAACAGAACGTGCTTTTTATTTTTATGTTTCTTTTGTGTCCATAACTTTCGAGTTTTTTTTTTTTTACTGAATATTAACTAACGTTAGGGTATAGAATATTTTCCACTTCTCGCTGAAATATATTTGTCTTATTTAGAATGATACCAGCTACAAAAACTAAATGTTATCGGTCTATGTGTTAACGTATCGGTGGCCTCATATTAGCGTACTATCCGCATGCGAAACCGGTAGGTCGTTTGTTTGATCAACGAATTGGTCAACCCAAACACTTTGGAAATACGCAAGTGCCGCCTTTCCGCAGATATCGCAGCATTTTGGCGTATGAGTAAATAGTGGTGTACTCGGAGTCCGAATGATGTGTCCAAGTAGAATGACCCATCTCCCGTTTCTGTTATCTTGCATGTTTAAAATTTACCCAGGTCTAGTACAGTATCGTCCTGAAACGTCTTAAGTGTTTAACCGAATTGAGTTTCAAAACATCATGAGAATTTACTCAAATTATGTGAATAAGTTTGAATGAAATGACAACGATGACAGAACATGTGCAATGAGCATTGTGTCTCTGGTGGATTAATGTCGTACTAACAATCATACCAATTTGCTTTTTTACTATTTTGAA